GAAATAAGTAACATGAGAAAGATCTCCTTGAGGCTTGATGAGAAGGTCTTGTTTTGCCTGCAAGCGGGGGGTGGTGGTGTATATGCAAACACTGTTCCAATACTCTCACACTCAGTGTGCATGGGACAGGCTACAGGAGTCATATAATTCTACAGTGCAGATATGGAAGCAACAACCAAATTTCTCTCATGGATACTCTGAGCCAGTATGGTTAAATGGCTAGAGCACCGGACTGGGGTCTGGGTTCAAATGTCCACTCACCATGAAACCCACTGGATGACCTTGGACCAGTCATTGTCTGTTAGCCTACTTTACTTCTCAGGGTTGTGAGGATAAATGGGGAAAGCAGAATGATGTGTGATAGCCTGAGCTCTTTGGAAGAAGGGTGGGATTAAAATGTGCTGGATAAATAGACGTTGATTTGCCATCAGTTTTTGAAATATTCCCAGTAGTCATGTATGGCTGCGAGAGTTGGACTATAAGGAAGGCCGAGCGCCGAAGAATAGATTCTTGAACTATGGTGCTGGAGAAGACTCTTGAGAGTCGCTTGGACTGCAAGAAGAACAAATCAGTCAATCCTAAAAGAAATCAACCCTGACTGTTCCCTGGAAGGCCAGATAATGAAACTGAAGCTCAAATACTTTGGCTACCAAATGAGAAGGGAGCACTCACTGGAGAAGACCCTGATGCTGGGAAAGATTGAAGGTCAAAGAAGACGGGGACGGCAAAGGATGAGATGGTTGGACAGTGTCATCGATGCAATGAACACGAGTTGAGCCAACTTTGGAGGGCGGCGGAGGACAGGAGGGCCTGGCGGGAGCTGGTCCATGGGGTCGCGAAGAGTCGGACTCGACTGTGCGACTGAACAACAACAAAGGCCAAGGCCAACAAAGCTTTGTTGAGCAGCCTGTTTACAGGGCCCTTTCGCCTTTCCATCCCAAACTTGCTGACTTCAGAGGCACTCGGTTTTGTGCCAAGTGGTTAGAATTTGATGGTTTACCCTCCAATCTTCATGGTGACTTTCTAAATTAACATATGCCCAGAAACTGCAAATGTCAGACAACTGTAGGAACTTGATAGGACACTTTCTCAGTGTGAATCAAATCTGCTTTTTGGTCAAGCAACACCAGGTGATAGAGCTACAGCAGCCCACAAACCTGAACCAGTTCATAAATTCTGTCCCTTGGGCTAGAACACACACTCATGAAGTTGCCTTATACTAAGTCAGACCCTTGGTCCATCAAGGTCTGTATTGTCTGCTCAGACTGGCGGCAGCTCTCCAGGGTCACCTCCTACCTGGTCCTTTTAACTGGAGATGCTGGGGATTGAACCTGGGACCTTTTGCATGCCAAGCAGAGGCTCTTTCACTGAGCCACAGACCCTCCCCAACAGGGATAAAAGGCTTGGTCTGGAATTAAGAGGAAGCAGTGGTTTAGCTGACACCCATTAGTTCAGTGATTGCAATGAAACTGCCTTTCTCGTGGAGCAAAGAGTCCCTCCAATTCTTTGTCTTCAGTTTGTTTCCAGGCCTCCCTTCTTGGCATTTTCCCTACGTTTTTTTTAGTGAGCCCCCCTATATTTCTAGCATTTGTTGATCAAGGCTTTTCTTTTTCCTCTTGAGATCACTGTTGTTGCTAGGCTCAAACCTGCAATATGCCTCTGGGCCTGACAAAGTCACAGGGTGAGAATAGAATGTACATGGGGGGGAGGGAGGCAGGCTCCACCTCCTCTTTTTACCACAAAACAGATGGGTTGCAGCAGGTGGGTGGTGTGAGTTACTAAAGGTCACTTTCCTGGTATTTCTGCCACCACCTCTAAATTGTAGGAGCATCTCTTGCTGGAGGACTGGGAGTCCAGCACTCTCTTTTGCACACCTGGGGATTGAAGGAGTGAAAAAAAAACAAACCTTTATAAACATAACTAAGCACCAAACTACACATTTACATTCCTAAAGAGTTGAGTTTGGATTCCCCAACAGCTGCTTTTAGAAGGGCAGTACGAGGGCTTCTGCTCCACCCCCAAGTCCTTTTCCCATACCAAAACAGTGCTGGGGATCAGTTATTTCCCCATTTTTTGTTGCTCAGAGTGGAGTATTCTGTGCACATGAAGCAGCATAAATGGGAAAATACCCCCCCTCCCGTGCTGTTTCTGCAGAAGAAAACAGTTTGGGGGTGGGTGGGAAGGCTGGGGTCCCCCCCCCCTGTGATGGTATTCCAAGACTGTTTGGGGTGTCCTTTTTTTTTTTAAGGGAGTCCCTGCAGTTACAGTGTGGCAGTGGGGGAAACCTGGATCCAGGTCTTTAAACACCTGAATGTGTAGTTTGGCCCTTTGTCAGGCATGGTATGACTCTGAGTACAGAAATAAGACTTCCAGTATTCAGACTACAAGGTATGTTGTAGAGGTTAGAGTGATGCACTAGGAGCTGGGAGACCCACGTTTGAATACCCACTTTGCCAGGAAAGTTTGCTGGGTGACTTTGGGCCAATCACATGCTCACAGCCTAACCTACCTTGCAGGGTATTTGTGAGCATAAAATGGAGGAAAGGAGAATGACGTAAGCAGCTTTGGGTCCCCATTGGAGTGAAAGGCAGGGTATAAATGAAGGAAATAAATAAGCTTCATATCTGTGTAAGAAACTGCATCTACCTTGCAGGTATATGTAATGTAAACAAGTATCTGTTTTGTTGTATGTACATTCTACATGGGAACCTGCCATCAACCTGGGCTTGGCACATGGCTAAATAGATGAATGAGTGTTCTTCACATATGATGATGGTGTACGTGCAAATCTGTGTATGAAAATGAGATCCATGTATGAAGTACGGCATGAAGACAAACAGCACCGTGACACCTTAAAACCTTGTCTGAATGATTGTCATGCAATGCATTGATCTGGTTATGGGCTGTGCTTCCCACTCTCCAACCTTCTTCGTAAATGTAGGTGCCAAACACCCTGCGGTAGTGTAAAGCAGCCTATGTAAGAAACGGAATTGCTTCTTGCTTATAGCATCACGAAAGCTCTCCTATCCACATGCTGGCCAGGCAAGTCTCTTACCTGCTTAACTGACCAGTCTGAAAAGAGCATTGTTTTTTTATCTGGCAACGTGTCTTTAGAAAGTACTCTGATATTTTTCTCTCTCTCCTATAGCATTGAAATCAGTGTTGTAATGTTTCTAGGGGCCTTTATGTTCCTTGAGAAGGAAGAGTGGTAGAAAGAGGAGAGCATCCTATAAGTCTTCTGTAGTTGGGCATCTAAGCTGACTGTAGCTCTGCCTTCATATTACCCTACAGATGGACTTGGTCTCCACCATTGGTGAGAGTGCTGCCCTGGGGGCAGCCGGTGCTATCTTCTGGGGAGATGCTGACTACACCAAAAGTCGGGTATGTATAACCTTCCTTTTGCCCACTAGGTTCTTATGCAGAGGTGAGCATAGTCCATGCTGGTTTCCATGGGATCCTTAATCTAACGGTTTCCCTCTTTCCTTATCAAGAGCTTAGCGAGGCTTTTCCAGCTCATTCTTTTTAACAACCGGAGGTTTTCTAAACAGACTCTCGGGAAATAGATGGTGTGCTATGAAGCCGATTGGGGTGGTGGTGGAGGAACCGTCAGTATGTGGGTGGAAGAGGCACATGTGTAGGGATAGTCTGTTTGGGTGTCGTGACCTCCTGTTCATAAAAGGGTTTTAAAAAAATTCTTCATTGCTCTTTTGCTTGCAGAGGAACAAAGGAAGGAGGAGGATCCCTGTTAGTTTGGCTTAAGAGAGCATATTCCCAGGCCAAGGCGTTAAACTGAATTTGTTCCCACTCTGATCCCAACGTCAGGGAGGTGCAGGGTTAGAGTAATACGACTATTGGTGTGGATTCACTGCTACAGTCCCTTGCTGCCAGGTTACTGTTGTGCAGGGTTGTATTGGAAGCAGGATAACTGGACTCCCTGACTGGCATTTTGTGGAAGCTCCCTACAAGATGTGAAACAACAACAGAGACCTGCAAGGAAACTGTTATTGAAAATCTTTGAGATAAAATGTGTTTTATCTGCCCTCAAAATGTTTTAAATCAGCTTTCTAAGCTAAGTAATGCTTCTCCATTACTGTACAGGAAAACGAAGAACAGAGACTAAGGCAGAAATCTGGGCAAACTTATTTGAGAGGAAGTCTCATTGAGATCAATGAAGTTTGAGCCATACCCTAGATCTTTTCTCACTTTCATTGGCTCCTTATTGTGGAAATTTTGCCACCCCTTTTGACTGTGCCATTGTGTGCCACAGCTGCCAGTCTGGTCTTTTATCAGCTCAATATGTTCCCTGCTCCCTGTTCATTTTGTATTGTCTCTTCTGCAGGAAACCTGCCAGGTCATTAAAAATTACATAGAGACTGATCTTGGTCGTTATATTGTCAATGTGACAACGGCAGCCGAACTCTGCAGCCACACTCTGTGCAACAGTCATGGGCGTTGCCTGCGCCGGGTCAGCAATTCTAGCGTCTTCCTGCACCTCAACCCAACCAGCTTCAAGATTCATCACAACGAAGACAAGAAGCTTGTGGCTGAAGGAAAGCTCTCTCAGGCTGACACTGCCTCCCTACGGACTCACTTCCTATGCCACTGCTACCAGGGATGGCACGGAGAAGGATGTGAGGGGCAGCTGAACCCTCCAGGCGGTGGCCCCTGCCTTTGCAGTAACCTGGGACTCCAGTTGCTCACAGTGCTTTTTCTTCTGACCTTCTTGCATTAGGCTGCCTCTAACTGGAACCGCCTTGGCTGCAAACTAGTTCCTGGAGCATAGTGTGAGAAAAGGGTTTGTGATAGGCAGTGAGAGTAGCCAGAAAGGAAGAAATAGGAGCCACCAGCCTCTTTTTTGTATCTTATTTAGCAGTGATGTAGCAGATCTCCTATTTAAGAGACTGTCCTACCTCTCCCGTCTTGCCACTGGCCCTTTAAGTGGCCAAAGGAAAAGGACCCTTCTCCCCACTAATAGTGTTTTTTTCCTTTCTGTAGACAGACAGGTGGACTACTGGAAGAGAGAACTGTGTTAGGGACTGGCAGAGGTAGGAGACTGGCATGAGATGTGGCCTTCCTTTCCTGCTGCTGATGTGGTGACCTCTGCTGCCCCTAGTCTTGGGTTGTCTGAATGTGCCACCACAATAAGAGTGCCTTGGGTTAGCTGCCCAAAGGAAAGTGGTCCTTGGAGGGTGGCAGGTGGGAAAGGAACTAAGTGCCTGCAATTGAAATTGGTTTTAGGCCTTGGCTGCCAGGACTAGGAAGGGAGTGGTTGGCTCTTCTGTTGTAAGGAGGGGGAGGGCATAGCTAGTTATAAGGCAGGAGTCCTAGAGCATACTTAGGCCTCGAAAGAAGTGTGGTGGGTTTGGTGGAGCTGCTGTAGTGAGGAAAAGTTGCTGCTGTATGGAGTGTCTCTTAAGAGTTTCCCTTTAGGGTAGAGAAGGGGAGAAATGCTGTTCAGCCACTGGGGATTATTCTGGAGAGTCATATGAGCTGTGATGGGACATATGCTTTGCTGAAGGTGGGGTGGGCTGGATCATATTGCCAGGTGATGTTATTGGGGATTGGGAATGCTGTGCCCTGTCTTTATATGGCTGGTGCTGAGTCAGTTCTCTGAATAATGCAGGAAAAACCAAAAAGTTTTACCTCAGAATTAAAGACACATGAGAGAATGGTTGGTGTCTTGCATTGTGTGCCTGATAATTGCCCTGAGGGTTCCTATTTCCTGTTGCCATCTGCAGTGGTAGAGCTGGAGGTTCTGACTTCAAGCAGCGTTTGCCTTCAGACCACAGTCACATTTTGACATTTCCTTCCCTTTGAGTGTCTTCTTGTTCTGTCAGAGCCGTGGCTTACACAAGTGTTGGTTATGCTCTGGAAATAATTCAAATAAGTCAACATCTTTATTACAGTCCATAACTATAATAATAATATTAACGATAAAAACAACCAAAATATAAAATATGTCAAATCTTGTCACTAGTACCTGGCAACAAGGACAAACAATATTAAAATAAATCCTCCCGGTCCAGCCAGGTCAAGGGATATCATGGTACAGTACTTAATCAGGCCAATGTATGTCTTCTAACATATATAACTAAACTTACAGCAAATCGTAATTGGTTTGGTTCAAATTGTTCCCTTTGCCTGACAGGTCGCTGACTCTTTCAGTCGCTAGTGTGTTACTGGAAAGTGGAGATCAAATAAAAGTAGGACTCGCTCACTCTTCCCCCTCACCCAAGTTCTGCTGTTCACAGAGATGCCATTTCCTGCCTGGCCTTCAGCTCACTCACTGTAGCCCTTCCGTCCTGGAAAAGGAAGGAGCTGTTGGTTCTCCTTGTAATTCAGTCAATGGGTGTTGGTTGGTATGACCAGGCTTTTGCCAAAGTGAACAGGAACAACCAGTTCAATTGACCGTCTTTGCTATCACCAGGCTTGTGGCACAGGAGGGCTAGAGAGGGATCATCCACCTTCTTTCTCTCTGCTAATGTTTTTCAATTCGCCCAGCACTAGGAGAGCAATCTTAAGCAGGTTTACTCAAAATCTTACTCTGGTCTATTCAATGGGGTTTAGTCTTATGAAAGTATTCTTAGGGTTGCACTGTAGGTCCTAAAAGCTCCTTTTGTTTTGTTTTTTTTAAAAAATAAGAACCTTTTATGGTGTGTTTCTTCTTTGAGGGACTTGCTTTGTTCTTTCTCTCAACTGAGACATTTTTAGGAATGTGTCTGTTTCTGTTGGCTGCAGGTTTCTGAGCTGATACTGGTTTGGTGATTTCCAAATATTGCAACAGAGTCTGGGGGTTTATAGAAGCCCAGCTTCAAGCTTTATCTGAGGTTCCGAGCCAAGTGTGGTATTTCCTGCTGGGGCTACTATGGATGTAGGGTGAATGCTTAAGCAGGAGAACATGCTGGCTACTTTAGATACCTCAGAATGCGGAGCTGCAATAAAGTCTGTGGTTTTCCTGTCCTTTTTTAAAGCCCATGATCATTGGCACTGAGGATATAGGAAATTCTTTTTGACCTAGCTGACCAAAAGGTTTGTTCTATCCAGTGCAGTCACTAGCATCCATTTTTATGTTCTCAGCCAGAATTGTATGTAGTCTGGCTGCCAAACATTACAGATGGAACATATAAGCTGAGCCCCTGAGCTGTAGTGCTCCTTAGCCCGTTCTGTGATTTTTGTGTCAAGGGCAAGGGTTTTTCAAAACAAACTCATTGTGTGAAGGGGGGGCACTTCACAAATCAATTGCTGTTGCCTGGGATGGGTGTCTGCTGCAGAAGAAATAGTAGGGTGCTTTTTGATACCACCTCTTGTTACTTCATCTAAGAGGGTCTCTGATAGCAAGGGCTAATCCTTAGCACCAGTTAGAGGTGGCTGGAGGTCATGTTCTGTGCTCTAAGGCTGCTAGTGAGCAAGGTGGGAATGCAAATGTACACATTCTTCCAGGCCTGTAGCCACCGGAGGGGGGAGGGGGGCAATGCCCCCCACAGATGAGTGCTGCCCCCTCAGACAAAGAGAATCAAGTTTTAAAAAAACTTACTGTAAGATGCACCTGTGTGTGTGTGTGTCCAAAATGACCCTGGGCACAGTCAGGGAAGCTTCAGCCTCATTTTCCTTTTTCCAGGCCAAAAAAAAAATAGTTTTTTTAAAAACGCAAATAAAATAAAGTAAAATAAAATGGCAAAAATCAAAAGAGAGAGAGTTGGACATCCCCCACCCCTGGGCTTACACAGAAAAGCAGCCTGGAATCAAGTCTCTCCAACTGAGAGGACTAGAGGAGGACTAGAGGTCTCAGCAGAGCAGGAGGCTCCTTCTTCTGCCACTGCAAGAGGAGCAGCGGACGTGGCTGGGATGCCCTCCCCCCCCGGATTTCCCCACACCCCACCAACCAGAATGTTCTGGCTACGCCCCTGCATTTTTCGAACCACTAAATATTCTTTATGAGCTCTCCTGAATGAACTAAAAAGAGAAAATAGCCTGCTGTTCCATAAACATTAAGGCTCTGGGCCTTAAATATTGTACACAATAAGAGAAAATTCTGGGTATGGAAGAAGGCAGTTATCTCTCGACTTGGATGTGGCGGTGGCGGCTGCTTCATAATACAGCACCATTCCGTGTAGAAATTTAGGAAAATATTAAGACGTAATGCGAGCCATCTAAAACACCAGAGCTTCAGGAATGTGCTTGTATTTGCTTGTACAGTACAGAAAAGTTCCTAAGCTAGCCAAACCCAACGCAGGGTGCTTTTTTTAAAAAAAAAACACCTTCCTCTCAGTTTGTTTTTTTCCTGTGTTGCCCTCTTTAAAAATATAGCCCATGTCCACTTAGGAGGGTGTCCAAAAGTGTATAAGAGGCATAAAGATACTTATGTAACAATATTTATTATTTATTTATTATTTTAATTCATAGCCTGCCCGCCCTGCAAGCGGGCTCAGGGCGGCTCACAAATAGGGCGTAAACCAATACATAAAACAGATTAAAACCACGACCGTAGTGCCCGTAGGGAAACATATGGGGAAAGGCGGTCCCTTAGGTATGTAGGGCCTTTTAAAATCTTAAAACAGTTTGAATAGCTGGACCAGTTAAGCCTCTCTGTATGGTGCTGTTGGGAAAAGGATAGCAGATCTGTAATGGTCAGGGCTATTTTTGGGCAGGAACACACAGGAACGGAGTTCCGGCTGGCTTCAGAGTTGGCCACGCCCACTACAGCCAAAACCTCTGTGTGTGTGGCTACAGAGGGAAGGCCTGGAGAGACCAGAGCTTCAGGAATGTGCTTGTATTTGCTTGTACAGTACAGAAAAGTTCCTAAGCTAGCCAAACCCAACGCAGGGTGCTTTTTTTAAAAAAAAAACACCTTCCTCTCAGTTTGTTTTTTTCCTGTGTTGCCCTCTTTAAAAATATAGCCCATGTCCACTTAGGAGGGTGTCCAAAAGTGTATAAGAGGCATAAAGATACTTATGTAACAATATTTATTATTTATTTATTATTTTAATTCATAGCCTGCCCGCCCTGCAAGCGGGCTCAGGGCGGCTCACAAATAGGGCGTAAGCCAATACATAAAACAGATTAAAACAATCAATACAATACTACAACATTTATAAAGTGCTCTAGATGTTTTGGAACAATCTTCTGTAAAAGATGGCGTCTTGAAGATGGTACTCCCGATCAGTGATGTAAGTTCCACGCGACACTGTCGTTCTCTCTTCCCAGGGCCAGTTGGTAATGATGGTACGGTAGTGGCAGCTCCTACTCAAAAGCCTGGCAGAAGAGCTCCGTCTTACAGGCCCTGCGGAACTGCGCAAGGTCCCGCAGGGCCCGGGTCTCTTCCGGGAGCTCATTACACCAGGTAGGAGCAGCCACCGAAAAAGCCCTGGCCCTGGTTGCAGCCAACCTGGCCTCCTTGGGGCCTGGAATTGCCAGGAGATGTTGCGTCCCCGACCGTAGTGCCCATAGGGGAACATATGGGGAAAGCCGTGGGGCACCCGGGCAAGCCAAGGGAAGGCAGTTTAAATTGCCTTCCCTTCAAGGGGGGTTGTCCGGGCTCCTCGCAGCTGCAGGGCGCCCGGGCCAGCCAAGGGAAGGCACGGGGTGTGGCCTAATATGCGAATGAGTTTCTTGTGTCAGGGGTGTGGCCTATTATGCTAATGAGTTTCTGCTGTTGGGTGTGGCCTATTATGCTAATGTGTTCTTGCTAGGCTTTTTCTACAAAAAAAGCCCTGGTAATGGTAACTGATAACAGGAAGTCTAAGAGCAAAATTCAGGCAATGGGTGACTGCTGCTTGGCTTGCTGATACCAGGTTCCTCTCTGCCTTGAAGGTGGGAACCGGTTGTGCTGTCCTTTTATTCACCCTGCCTCACAGCTTGCTGAACTTAGAAGCTGAAGTCTGCTCATATAAGACAATTGTGAGAGAGCCTGAGGATGTTACGTTTTTAAGCAAATTTAATAATTGTCTTGCTGGCCTCTCTGGACAAATATGGGCTGGCTTATTTCCCTTTACCTGAAAACCAAGAATGCAAGACCCTACCACTGCTAGTTTTTAAAAGGAATCTCCCCTTAATAGCTTCTATTGTATCAGGGTCAGTGTTGTCTCAAGGGATGGTATGTTCCTCTCCATCCTTTAGGAGAGCACCCTCTAGTGCCACAAGAAGAGCCAACAAATCAAAATGTAGTGATTTCTCACTAGGAGGGTAGTGAGTCTGCCAAGTGTTATCACACTAATGTGCTGGTATCACTAGTATCTGCCAACAGCCACAGATCATGCAGGCCTGCACCAGATGTGTTTGGTTCCCTTACTTATATTGCAGCCCATTGATGGTCTGATGGTGGGTTATAGTGTGGCACAGTGCCATGGCTTCTTTCCTCTTAAATCTTTTTCCCAGGAGTAGGCCCCCCTCCTTACTTTTAGGTGCAAAGACTTTCAGACTATCTTGGGGCTTAAGGAAAAGTTTTTGTGCACACATTTCCATATATTCAAGACACCGAAGTAGAAAGAGTTCCCCTGTTTTATTCTCTCTTCGGTCACACTGATTGCATGGTTACCCCTCTCTGAGTCTGGAGTCTGCTTTGTACTGTCAAGTTCCATCTCTGGTTTGCTGTCACACGGTACTCGGCTAGAGTCTGCCTTTGTTTAAGGCCATGCCAGCTCTGCAGGAGAACCCTTAAAAAA